CCCACAACACGCAACCGAGAGCAAGGAAGATTTCTCGCTGGCACTAATAATGAGATCCTTTTCTCGAAGGCTACCCCTACCAATCCAATTCAATATGGAAACCACAAACACATTATGCACAACTGTCGTGACGAGAATCTGGCAACAGTGCCCACACTGCGGATGTCAAAAAGGAGGCACATTTCACATAGCACTGAAACCACTTTGCGCAGCTTAGCATTATATCTTCAGGGTACATTTAGTTTTAATTCTTAATTGTCCTCATTCAGTGCTTCCAAGGCAGTGTATTGATAATTCTCAAACTTTCTGGTCGGGGGTTATTCTAAATCTTTAGCCTTAAGTGAACTTATATGAATACCTCCAAAACATTACACACTCATAATTTCAGTGTTAAAGGGATAGTTCATATTCTTTTATGTTCCACAGAAGAAAGAAAGTAATGTAGGTTTGGAAGGTAAGTAAATGATGACAGGATTTACTTAAAGTGTACTCAAGTTTGGGGTTTTGGAAACTTTATAATTCTTACGAAATGTAAGATTAAAAATCTCTCATTAACTTACACTAAATGTAACTGTGTCAATGATGTCATCTTAATATTTGCATACTTAATTGTGACTGGTCTTCTTTTATTTGTTTAGCTTTTTTTACAATACACATTTTTTTCAGAACAGCTTTACAGAAAATCATGATGTTAATGTTTATAATATCCTAATATCTTCATGCCTGGCACTCTAAAAAAAGATTTTTAGTTGTAAATAAAACAGATTATTGTAGTATTTTTTTTTTTAATGAGAAAATACTATTTAAGCCTTTCTGCTTAAAAATTACATGTTTAATTCAATGTGTTACATGTTGGCTCTTTGTAATTGTTTGTGAAATTTACTAGCAATTTGTTAATTTTTCTTCACCATTTTTCTTTACAGTGCTTACAGTCAGATTTTGCAGATTAGAGCTGCAAACTATTTGCATATTAAATTTGGTTTGTTATTTTCAACTATTTGAAGATGCCTTTAAGTTTCATTCACAACGCCAGTGACTTTTTACTAACCTGGGTCCATATGCACATATTATTAATTGTCATACATGCAACTCATTATCTCAGATACATTTTCCATATTACATAGTTCGACTTGTAACACTTGCTATATCCAAGGAATACCATTCTAGTTTAATCGTTATCGCACATTGTAGAGATTTAGGAAGGAATGTTCATAATAATAATTGGGATGGAAACTGTAGCATTTATGTAAGAGTCATCACTTATTTTACACATCAGGAAGACAGTTAGACTGACCAAAATAATATTTACATAAACCACTCTGAGCTCATCCGCATCTCTGGTGTTGTAGCATTTAGCTCAGTGAACACTTACAGGATTCAGTTGCTGATTACATTGTGAAGTATGTGGCCTGCCCACCTCACTTCCATATTTCTTGTGGCAGGGATGTTTACACGGGAAAGGGGGAAATCATGTTCCTATTTATTGACTGCAACAGTGCATTACAGCAGACTCATAAGCAAATGACGTATTCCCAAAAATGGTGTTAACATTGATCATTACATTCATATTGAGTCATTTTTCACTTTAATAGAGAGACAATATGTCTGTGCTGGAGGGAGAATTGTGTGGATTGGGTGATGAGACAGAAATCAGGTCTGCGTGTTTGTGTGGTATTATCTTCTTTACTTATGAGTATGAACAAATCCCTATGAAGGCTTATAATAACACCTGGAGAAAGCTATCCATTAGCATTCATATTAATCTCAATGGCAGTTGCTCACTGGTGCATCACAATCTTTGCTGGGCATTTAGTTCTGGACTCATTACTAAGCCAGTCATCTGAACCATAAATGCCATGTGACTAATTACTCTGGAGCTTTTGATTGGCGGACGGTACCAAAAGAATGCACAGTCCCAATCCTTTCATTTGTAACTATCATGACCTGTGATGATATCGTTTAAAAGTTTGGGGTCAGTATTTTTTTAAAAATAATTAATACTTTTATTCAGCACATAGGCGTTAAATTGATCAAAAGTGACAGTAAAGACATCCACAATGTTACAAAGATTTCAGTCAATTAAATGCTGTTAAATTAACTTTCTGTTCATTAAAGAATCATGAATCTTTTTAAATATTAATCCACACAACTGTTTTCAACACTGATAATAAGAGTTGTTTCTTGAGCAGCAAATCAGCATATTAGAATGATTTCTGAAGGATCATGTGACACTGAAGACTGGAGTAATGATGCTGAAAATTCAGCTTTGCCATCACAGGAATACATTTAATTTTAAAATATATTAAACTAGAACATGGTTATTTTCCATTGTAATAATGTTTCACAATATTCCTGTTTTTAATCAAATAAATGCAGCCTTGGTGAGCATAAGTGACTTCTTTCAAAACCTTTTTTAGCACTAGTGTGTTCCTTAAATAACATACAAATACATATATATTTGTGATAAACAAAACATTTTGTCAGAATAGGCTACATGGCTTCTTCTGAAAGGCCATCAGTGGATAAAGGACATTTTCCCAGCAGAATGGTGTAGTTCCTACATCTACCAGCAGGGGCTTACCTGCCCAAGCTAACCAGTCAAACACAAACCCCTTGGTACATACATACAAGGAATCCTAGAGAATAAGATAGACTGAGCAACATAGCGTACTATCAGGCATTTTTAACTCTCATTCCCAGTGACTTTGCCACGGTTTAGCATACTGCAATACTGAGCTTCTGAGGTTTGGTGTATTTCCATGCAGTGATTCCATTCACTTGTTCACAGCAACGTTTTTCCACAGTCACTTCTGCACGATCTGCCTTTACCCCCCCCAAGCAATTCATAAGCAGAGGCACTTTCTCAGTGGTCAACAGTGAATGTTGCGTCAAAAATGCAATTGCACCCCTGATTGCCATTTAACTGGGTGTGTCTGTTTATACTTCTTATTACATAGCATGATTAGGAACAGAACTCCATTTGACATGCTATTTCAGGCTGAAATACTCATCCTCATATAGACGCTCATTTCAGATTTTTTAATCTAAAGCATTCAAGAATAGATGAAGATAATATTTTGCTTGAATTTTTAAATGTTGGATGTTTTGGGTCTGGTTGTTGTGGCAGTGCTGCAGAGGTGGAGACCGCAGGTATTTGCTATTCTCAGAGTGTCTCACCAAGTCCCTCTCTCCATCTCCCTCGCCCTCCATCTTTTGCGCTCCCTCTATCTTCACCTTACCCTCCACCTCTATCTCTTTATATCTTTTCCTTTCTCTTTCTTTCCCCCTCCATCTCTCTCCCTTGCCCTCTTTCTTATAGTCAACAACATGAATTTTTTCCCGCTCTCTGAATGAGGCAAACCCTAACAAACATGTAGTCAGCTGTGCAATAGCTCTGCCTTTCCCACAATAAAAAAAATAGCATGAAAACATCACCTCGGCTTCGGCATCCCGCTCTTAACTCTTAAAGAGACACTTAACAATCAGTCGTGACTCTACTTATATTCAGATGAAGCGAGTGACTCATTTGTAACAGGTAAGGTACATTATCCAACATGTTGCCTGGCTTACATGTATTGGTATTTACATGATGTTGCTGGAGCTATTGCCATAAACATGACTCATGAACCACAGGAGGAGGCCGGAAAGTGTGGAGGAACATTCTGGGTAAACACCACTTGTGTAATAAAGCCTAGAGCCCTCCTCATTTTAGCCCAAATATATTAAACGGAATAGTACGGAACGTATTGAATTTGGAGGCAAGGACAAAGATCCTTTGTCACCATTCATCCAGAGCCACAGGATATTTAACCCATATCAAGACGGGCATAAGTACCCGTTTCATATATATGAGTTCCAGAGTATATTTAAAGATCTCAGACCCAGCATTGTGAATGCTGACCATGGTGATGATCTTGGATTTGTGTTTGGGGCCTGCTTTTGGGATGGCCATATCAAAGTGGGTATGCAGATCTAAGAACTCGTTTGTCCTGGCAAATTATTATGATACTGGACATTTATACTGGACAATTTACTATGCCAGGGGTTTGAAACTGCAAATGATTGAAACAAAAGTGAAAATGTTAATGATGAAGTGGTGATGTGGTTATGGATATAAACTCTTTATCATCTAGAGCAGGGGTGGGCAGACTTGGCCCTTCCAGGCCACTTTCCTTCAGAGGTTAGCTCCAACCCTAATCAAACACACCTGAACCAGCTAATCATTGTCTTCAAGACTACTAGAAGGCTACAGGCAGGTGATTTTTATCAGGGTTGGATCAAATCTCTGCAGGAAAGTGGTCTGGAAGGGCCAAGTTTGCCCATCACTGCTTTAAAGGGTTCCCTTGTGTTCCCTTTTTATTTAAAGAGCCGATAGACTTTAGTTATATCACAGTCAAGAACTACGATTTGCTACTTTCAAGACAACTGCAGAGAGAAACCATTTAATTAGACATAAATCGGTAGTACAAGAATTAAAAATAAAACTTAAAATGTGTATTTTTGCTCAAAATTAAGCTAACAGACAGACTAAAAACCAATATTTTGTGGTCTTTAAAATTGAATTTCCGAGAAACAAAAACAACAACAACAAAATAAATAAATAAAATAAAATAAAATGAAAAATAAATGAAAAATGGTCATAACCTTGCTTCTTCAAACATTACAAATAAATATAATTGAAAAACAAATCATATGCACGTTAGTTTCAAGCCCAACATGAGATGGTACTCATGTAGCCTTGGTCTGGCCTCTTCTTTTGATAAACAAATATATTTATTGCTGAAACATTTCACAATTATAATTTTTTGATTTTATTGAGAATATAAATATTAATATCCAGTAACCGTAATTTTCAGTTAAGTTTGTTGCTTGATTTACACAGGTCTAGACAGTACAACAATCCAACGATTAGAGCGTGCCTTCCCCTTTAAGGAGCCCCCCCTTTTCTCCGCAGCAGGGGGAGGCTGAGCTCAATCCTGGAACAGCGATTAAAAAAAAAAAAATTCACCAGTAGACTGTTTCAAGTTCCCCCAGCAGAAACTGTGCCTGATTTGTGGCCAATGCTGGGGATGTACGAAAAGGGAGGAAAACACTAAGCGGGTAGCTATGGAGATAGACCGTTTTCCTGGCCGCTTCCTTTGACAGGTGTTGAGTAGGTTAAAAGTCTTCAAACAGAGTCCACCATGTACGCCAAAGGGAAAGGAGCTGTCGTTCCATCCGATAATCAAGCCAGAGAGAAGTAAGTGAATTTGTGCATTGTCACATATAAAGCAAAAACCTGCAAGTTCTCTGATGCCTGCGCTGCATTGCACGAGACGGCTATCGGCGACTCTAACACTTTACTAAGTAGTTTCTTTGCAGATTCTGTGCGGTGTGATTGTGCAGTGTTCATCTAGCTGTGTTGCACAGCTGTTTTTCCTTATGCATGCTACTTGTGCTTGCTTTGGAACAACTTTATCATGCATTCGGGTAGTAGATGTTACATGAAGGATTGTACCGTGCAGATGCAGATGGAGAGTTTGTGGAAGGCTTGGATCAATGCATCATGTAGATGCTCAGATGCTTCTTGTACATGAGACATACAGGAGTCCCGAGATCTCATCTTTGATACACATAATGATGTTAGAGCAGCTGTACAAACTAATGTAATGAAATAGTTTGATTTGATGAGTGAGTTTGTTACAGTAGAAGATTTTACTTGGTTTAACCCCCCCAGACTTGCTCATTACTGTTGTTATAAATTCTCAGTTTCTTACCTTTTGTGTTAGTGACTTTTTAAGGTTTGTTGTTATAAATACATAAGCCAGGGTTTGTATTTTGTGCAAAAACAGGAGTCGCAAGACATGCAAGTTATGATGCTTTAGCATATGTGGGCAGTGTAGTTTAAGCAATGTTCCCATAAGCACTGAAAACCTGGAAATATCAGGTGACTTTAAAAGTATGGTTTCCACACAAACTCATAGAGATTTCAATAGGTATGCCATGCCATGTTTAAGCCACCAGACATCGGTCTTTATGGAGTAAAACATTTGTATACTAATAAGTTTAATTGTTTACATGATTCATTCCAAAGCTTGTTGCCTGTAAATGGATATTTATTACTGAAATATCTATGATATTTTTTAAAAGCTTTACGTGGTGATTATGAACGACTGGAAAGGTCATTGAAAAGTCATGAGTCAAAAAATGCAGAAACCCTTTAAATAAAATGTATATCTAATCCCAAATTACAGCATATCCTCGTGGCAGTAAAACATTTAGTGGTTTGTAAGGTTGTCTCAAATTTTCTTATTCAGTAATGGCTGATAAGTGTCCATATGGCTAGTTTAAGACAGTGTTGTGATGCGTTGCATCGTGCCGCGTAAACATAAAACCATGTCTGCATTTGTGATCGGAGAAATGACAAACAACAAGCGCTACTCTACACTGCTCAAAACTCGCGTTGGAATCGTCAGTGGCAAATCGTTTAAATATGAAAACGTACTTACAGACTGTGAGTCTGCATTATTTGTCAGAACACCAGCATTGTAGGCTACTCTTCCAGGATCAGGAAACAGTCCTCCATAAAATGTGCTGCACACATCTGAATATTTGGGTTGAACTGTTCTGGAACAGTGCTGTAAATCCACCTTAACCACTGATTTCTAGTTGTGTCCTCTTTTGCAAGGCCAAACAAAGTATTTTCGCTTTCGCAACGAAACACACAGCGTCTTCACAACATGGTGGCAGCGGGCATTCTTTCTTTGCGTGAACATTTGGGCGGCGTTATGCAAGTCTTCCCACATCGTGACGTAGACATGTGGGGGTGTGTTTAAACGAGGCGTTTTAGGAGGGCGTGGACAAGTCTTAACTTTTATAAAGAATATCTCTTTGGGTTTGAGACTTTAGTCTTTGCAACTTTAGCGATCTTATCTATTCACAAACAGCTTGTAACACTCCAAAGAGAAAGGAAAACTTGAAATCGCAACTTGAATGACCCCTTTAAGATAATGAACTGAAATCTCATCCACAGTTTTATACTGCTCATTCATATTTGTATTATACTGAATGTTCAAGGCCTTTTGCATGTCCAAAAACTTTTGCATGCTTGAATGAATGATGCACCTCAGCGAACGTAATTCTAGCTGAGCTCACATTTATGTTCAGTTTGTATTCTCAGTAGTGAGGAGGTTCAACACCTGGTATAAACTTTAAATTGCAACTTGTGGCAGAGCATTAAAGCACTTTAAAATTCAATTTATGAAAAACAGATCCATTGGAAGCACACTGTCTCTGGCCAAAGAAGCAGATGGATTCTCAGTTTGGCAGCGTTGATGCGAGGATGTGGCGCTTTGGTTTTTGTCAGAGAACTTTTTAGGAACTTGTCATTTTCACCCTTTTCCCTTGTCTCGTGCGTCTGTGCTGGGTGAATAATTGATAGGAGAGTTGAAAACATGATTTCCTAACGGTGCCTTTGTAGGACGGTTATGTGTGATTCATTCATGTTTAAAGATGGTTTTATCAGAGAGCCTCGGGCGAGATGTCAGGTGTGCTCAAGGCATACATTTGGCAGATTTCTTTGATGTGAGGACTCCGTGTGGGCTCTGTTGTGATGAGAGTGGAACAGGGGGACCCGCTTGTCTCTGGTGATACATTTTAGAGATTTTCCTTTGGAGCTGTCATAAACTGTCATCTGATTTGTCCTCACCTTGTTTCATGTGTAATGAAAAATGTCACATCCCTGAGCAAACTTTTCTAAAGGGAGGATTCATCCAAAACGTACGTATTTACCCTTATGTCATTTTAAACCATTATGCTGTTAATATTTACGTGGAACACACAGTGGGACATTTGGAATAATTTCCAATCCCTGTTTTCCATATAGTCCGTGGCATAGTGACTAGTCTGTCAAGCTTCAAAAAGGTTGTAAATGCACCATAAAAGTAGTGCATATGTCTAGTCCAGGATTATTATTATTTTTAATATTATTAATTTTTTTTAAACTAAATTTTTCATTTTTTTTTGTTCAAAACATTTAAAAATTGTTTTAACGTTTTTGAAAAAAAAAACCCAGTAAAAATAGTAATATTGTGAAATGTTATTGCAATTTATATAAATAACTTTACAATTTTAACATTTTAAAATGTAATTTATCCTTACGATTAGGCATGGGCCGGTATGAGATTCTGACGGTATGATAACCTTAGATAAAAATATCACGGTTTCACGGTATCAAGGTATTGCGATTACAGCTCTAAAATATGTTATTTTTTAAATGTCTGGGTAAAAAAACTACTTTTTTTCCCCACTGAACACATTTTATTTTTGGGTCTCTGTCTTGATCGGGGGTGAAAGAGGGAGAAAACCGAAGATGACACAGATATATAGTTTATGTTCAACTTGGAAGTATTTATTTAGTGATCGGCGCTAAAACGTCATCTGTATGGAACATCGTTGTGTACGGAATTTCAAAAAGAATTTTTTTGAAATAGAAATATTTTATGTCTTTTATATAACATCTATAAAAGTCTTTACTGTCACTGATTGATATTTGATCAATTTATTCTATCCTTGGACTCCTCGCTGAATAAAACAATCATCTCAGTAAGAATTATTTTTGAAAGCTAGTAAACGATTTATCAAAAACTAAAACTAATTTTATTTTTACATTTTGTTAATGGAAAAGTTTTCATTAAGCTTTTATTTGCAATTATAACAGTGTTTCTGAAGCCATATAATAACTTTTTGCGAGTAATTTTTCTAAACAAATAATGCATCTCATATATGCCACAGTTCTCACATCATGATGTCAGATGACAAGACATGAAACCACTGCCACTTGATGTTTTTGACATCCAGCCTGAGGCGTATTTTATTTGAGATAAACTTTACATTTTTGGGTGAACTATTCTTTTAATGGCCCTTTTCCTTCTCTGAGAGTAAGGGGAAAAATAGCTATGACAATAGTGTTTCGCACCTGGCATTATATTGTAGGCCAAGCAATCTGACCTGTGTTTAATGTTCCCCGTGCGCATGAGACTCCCCACAGTGCTACAAGGAGTCATGGTGAGGCTATTTTGCAGTAAGACCTTATGTTCCAGCTGTACCGTAACATCAGCTCTTTTTACCTCACTCACCTCAAAACAAACCCACCTATGCTGAACTACTGGAACATCACTGGACTTAGCTCTTCTGAATACCTCCGATTGGCAGGGCTTTCTCCCACAGGGACACTGTAGATCTGGAAAAAACTGAGGGGGAAGGGGCTGAGAGACTCGGGGGTCGTCCCCCTGGGCATTCCCTCCAGCAGACCTCATTTCGGGGCTTTTGAAGAGGGAGGCTGAGCTTTAAGACGGCATGCCACAGGCTCCTGAGGCCCCAGTCAGTGACATGGTCTCCACCACCCCCTCCCCATCTCCATAATATGGCTCTTTATATGTCCTGTGCTCCTCTGAAGAGAGCGCACCATTTAGATTTTGCTGATCAGGTTTGCATACATTAACACCTGCTCTCAGTCATTTGAATATGAGAGAGCCTGGCATATAAAGACAGATGGAGTTGAATGTTGTGTTTAAAAATAAAATAGAATGTATTGCTTTTTTTTAGCAGTACCTGATAGGGCAAGTATCACTATTACTATTGCTTGTATGTTTTCCATTCAGCATGTAGCCTAATTTCTCACACTGTTTGTGCTACAAACATGAACAATATGTCAAATTACAGGGCCTGAATTTCGTTTTGGAAAATGGGGGGGAATTCCCCCTTTAGGTGGCTCTTATGGGGGGGATTTTTTAATTTGAGGGGGGAGTTATGTTTTTTTTTTTGACATTTTTCAATTACCAATAATA